GTCTAAACAGTTTATCAGGAAAGACTACAGTTATATGCATTTTGCTTAAAATTTAAAATGCAACCCATAACAACTCTTTTATATTTTGTAATATTAGCAACTGTCCACCCAAATGTCCTAATACTTTGATTTTATAATTGGATGGAACAGTCCCTGGATTGACGTTTTTTAAATCAATATGACTATAACTGATGGAAAATTCGAATCACCTAAGCATTCAGCAGAAAAGGATTATTTTAGAAAATCACGTACATCAACTAAAAAAAACACAAGCAATTAATATTATCAATATGACGACTATACCAACATTGACAAATTCTACCTAATATCCTCTCCAGCTTTGTAGCATTTATCATCTAACATATCCATATATCTATTTTATTATCTATTTCTCCATCTGCCCTTATCCCCTTTGGAATTTCAGCCTATGAAGGAAGAGATTTTTATTTAGTTTTGTTCAGTGCTACATTCCCAACATCTAGATCAATGCCTAGCGTATTGCAGATATTCAATAAACATTAGCTGAATTAGCTGAATGAATACACAGTAACTGAAAAAAGATGTTGGACTACTAGCTCATTTGACCTGATGTGATGGGTAAGCTTGTGGGCAGTACTATTTTTATTTGAAATACTATATACACTGCTATACTTTTGTTTGGGTACATTTCTACTACATATTCATACTTACCAGGTTGCTTTTGAAGTCTTCAAATAATGCAGAGAAGCATTTCAAAAACATACATGCATACAATACACAGTTGCTTAAATTTCTTTCCTTTTGAGCCTACTTCCTAGTTAAATCGCATCCAGGGAAAATAATGTATACATCAAAGAAATTTCCCCTGACTAAAAATTCTTTCAAGTGCAATTACATTTTTTGGAAATTTTACAACAAATCCACAAAACTGGGAACTGTGTTTTCTACCAAAACATAATGTACAAATAGTTGGACTAATCATTATGGTCTAAACCAGTAGTTGTCAACAATTGAAAATGAATGGTTGTCTTGACTTTGGGAAAGGGAGCACCACTTGGTAGAGGCTAGGGATGCTGTTAAACATCCTACAATGCACAGGACAGCCAATAACAAAGAATTATCCAGCCCAAAATATCAACAGTGCCAAGCTTGTAGAACTCTAGTCTAAACAAAAGGTTTAACTGCACCAGTGAATGCCACATTGCTACCACATAAGAATCAAATGAAGTTTTAAAAACACAAACTCAAGGCCAGGCGTGGTGGCTCACGCCTATAATCCTAGCACTTTGGGAGGCTGGAGGATCACTTGAGGACAGGAATTCAAAGTAAGCCTGAGCAACACAGTGAGACCTGGTCTCTACAAAAAATTTAAAAATTAGCTGGGTGTGGTAGCATCAGCTACTTGGGAAACTGAGGCAGGAGTCTGTGTGAGCTATGATGATGCCACTACACTCTAGCCTGAGTGACAGAGTGGAGCTCTTTTAAAAAAAAAAAAATTTTTAACCCATAAGCTAAAATGCAACTGCAAGAATGCTTCCATGATATTAAAAGCAATAACTTACTCATGTATTTGTGAACATCAAGTAAAATACTGACATACTATTTATCTACAGTAAATGGTGAGAGGAATCTTTGTTCAGAGATGTAGACACCTTCCCCAAAGAATGACTAAAGGACGAATGAACAAAATATTATAGAACAGATGATATTACAACAGAAATGTAAATATCACCTCAAGTACCACCACACCTATCTGCACAACTATTAAAGAAATGGGTGTGTATGTGGGTGTGTGTACACATACATACACATGCTATACATAATTGGGGAATAGAAGAGAATGGCGGATTTTTCATATTAAACACAGAAGGACTTACAGGTCACAAGCATTTCTGCATGTCTTAAATTCCTTCAAAAGTGAATAACATAATAATTAATTAATAAGATATATATTGTAATTCCATGAATGTCAACATAGTGCATGATGCTGTCATAATTTTAAATGAAAACCAAAATGATAATCCTAAAATAGCTTCTGATAGGTAGTACTAATGAGAGTCAACGACTTCACTACCATTAAAACTCATTCCAATTATTAATTTATAAATTTTCATTCAGGACTGAAAGGTTATCTAATTCTTGCAACCTTAAATACTTGTCTGCAATCCAGCTAATACAAGGAACATGGAAACCAACCACTATAAAAACAAAAAGAAGGGCTCTAGAGTCATTAAAAAGGCTCAAAACACTCTTAACACATCAATTTCAAAACATATTTAATGGATGAAAAATGCTTACTAGGTGACTCAATATAAACATTTGAAAAAATTCATATAAGAAAAGGAAGAAATGGATTCAGAAACTAAAAAAAAAAAAAAAAAAGGTAGTATTTGTTGGGAGAAAAAATTAAAGGGATGTTTTGAAAATAAGGTAGCTTTACTGTTAACACCTTATTTGAAACCTATTTTTTGATCCAAGTAGTACAACAAAAGAACAAAAGTGAATCAAGCTAACCATTCCTGAATATAGCAAGTTCAAAGTGAGCCCTATGATCTAGCTGTACAGAAAACATAAGTGTAAGAGGGTCACAGAATGTCTCTGCATTGACCTTTTTTTTTTTTTTTGTAGAGACAAGGTCTTGCTATGTTGCCCAGGCTAGTCTCGAAATAGAACTCCTGGCCTCAAACAATCCTCCCATCTTGACTTCCCAAAGCCCTGGGATTACAGGCATGAGCCATTATACATAAATAAGAGGCACCAACTAATTTAGGCTCATAGGTGTTTAAAATTTAAGGAAAAGATAAACAGGGCTGGGTGCGGTAGCTCATGCCTGTCACAAAAATCTAATCCAACGATGACAAATCTTTTTTTTTTTCTTTCTTTGACTTGAAGTCTGATATCCAATTTGGTATTTTATTTCCTTTAGGCTATTGTCCAAGAACAAGCTTTAGGTAATTCCAAGCCTCGAATCAAAGTTATCTTCTGGCTTTTGCAAAGAAGTTCTTTCTAACCAGTGATAGGCACCCTAAAGTAGTATCCCCACTAAGCAATACCTTTAATAATTTATTAGACATTGTGTCACCATACACATTACCTTATATATATTTTTCTTCCTTCTTTTTCACTACCCTCCTACACCTTATTCTTGTTTTCTCCCTTTCCTCCTGCTCACCCTGTATCTCAGGCTAATAAGACCAATCATGAAAAGTAAGTACTACTACAGGCATCCAAGAAGTTTATTCCCTTGACTAGACCATATCGACCAAAAGAGCAAATGAGAAAATAAGCAATTCATCTCTGAACTACATACTTACTGTTTACATGTCAAGATTTCTAAAAGGTAAAGACTCTAAAACTAATAATAAATGGCTGACTGATAAGAATCCAATTATGTTACCTTGAGAAAACTGCATCAAGTGAATATGCAAACTGCCAGGGATAACAGGTTCAGGAAGTTCTTGAAGGAAAAATCTAAGAAGACTAATAGCTGAGGGAACATCTGCTTCCTTAACCAAATCCACCTCTTCTCCGCTGTCGTATCTCTGCCGAAGCCACTCCACTGTCTCAGCATTTCCATTGACTTGAAAAAGTCCTTGTTGCTCCAGACCTCCTACATTAGTTCAAGGCAAAAATTAAATAAGCTGCAACTTCAACTACTTGGCCATATATATTCATTCTCCAACCAACTTAATACTCGTACTTCTGGAAAGCCTTTCTTGGCTCCCCTAATTTGGCTAAAAACCTTCAAATTACACGTCTAGAAACATACAATCTCTGTCCTGAGGGATATTCTGTTTTATCCCACCCCTTATATCCATTAAAAATATTCCTATCACCCCCACTCAAAAATGTTCTAAGCTGGGCAACTGTCACATGAATTTAAGTAAAAAACACACTAAAACATTAAAAAGAATTTCTATTTTTTTCCCTATGTTTTGGACTTTCCAAACTAAAAAAAAAATTTAAAAATCCAACATCAAAAAGGGATAAGTTGTGTTTATTGAAACAAAAGCTAGCCCTCAAAGTAAGGAAATGTATACCATGTTCCTCAATATAGTCCACAACGTGGCGGACTATGAATGGAACCTCATTGTCTGGATGTCCTCCCTGCTGCAGCTCATCAAGTGGAATTCCAAATATTTTGTTAGCAAGAACGGAGTTGCAGTTACTCAAGGAAGGGGAGGAGCTCTTCCTCATATCTTTTTTGCAGCCAGAAATCAAAGCTGTCTTTTCTGCCAAATGAAAGACAAAAAAAAAAAGACTATAATGATTAACAGGTGGCAATATGACTAAATACATTAAAGAAAAATGCTTTACACCTGAATGTGTTCTCATCTATTTAAATATGTTCCAGTTATCAGGCCCATAGTGTGTTCTACAAATAAAGCTCAACATAATTACATAAGTATTTTTTCTACTATGAAGAGTTAGTTCTGCATGCTCCCTTTACTACTGTATATTTATCAAACAATGGAAAAACTGATCATCCAAAATTTAGCAAGAGGCATTAATGTCCCAAAGACAAATTAAGGGGCGAATATGGCTCCAAGAGGAGCTTTACTGAGCAAGCTTATTAATGACACGGGTAAAAAGGCAGACCCAATCCATCTCTCGACTCTGCTATACGAAGCTCACCTAACCCCTCAATTCATAAGCCCAAGCAGGACAGAATCACTTTTTATAAAGTGATAGACTAATAATCACTTTTATAAGTGATGCGCTAATAAGAACAAGAGTAATCAGCTCTTATTTCTATATGACAGAGCAGATGTAATATATTTTCATAAAAAAAAGAAATTTTTCAGTTCTGGCATCAATTTTCAATGAGAAAAGTCCTTTTATCAACACTATTGTTTCATAATTATTCAAAAGAAAAATTTCCAGAGCCATCTAGTTCAGAAGAAATAGTTATTTGTCTTAACTTTGTAGGAATTGTTATCAGTAAAGCAGTGGGAGGAAACAATGTCTCAGATGGCCATTTCCAATATCTGACACATCAGAGAACAAATAATCCTGAGAAAAATTCATTTTCTAAAATAAACATTACTTTATGTAGGAAAGGAATATTTCTAAAAGAAAGAAAAACTTTTTTCAAAAGTTGATAACGAACAAAATGACACCAACTGGTCTTTTTTCATCACCCCAAAGAAGCATTTGCTTTCTCACTGCAAGAGAAAGATAACAGATCACTCAGATAAATCTACCCAAAATCCTAAAGTTTACAAAAATAAGGCCCACTAGATCGAGTATATACCCACTGGATCAAGAAACGGTCACAACGTGACTAGGAAACAATCTAGCCAATTTAAAGAAACAGCAGAAATTAATGTAGGGACAGCAAAATACCATAAATTTACATAGTCCTAGACAAGCAATATCCATTTTTCAACATATCTGGTGCCAGCTAAGAATTACAAAACTTCGAGTTAATGATCATATAGCAGCTACAGGGGCAAACTCCAAAATCTCTGTGGATTTATAGAGCATGAAATAGCTACCATTTTGAAAACTTACCTTTGAGTACTTAAACACCTAAGTTTAAAAAATGGCTTCTGCACCAGCTACCCTCACTGAGCAAGCATTCTTTTGTCATTTATGGCTGTTTGAGATTATGGCAGAAGATCAGCCTGTAGTTCCTCATTGAAGAAACGCAGAACTCGATCAGTACTTCAGCAGTTAATCTAGAAGAAAAAATAATAATTTCAATTTTCCACATCTTCTGTGAAGAGACTTAGAAGAAGCAGGAAAAGGTTATCTACACTGAAAGGTATTCTTTGGCTTGAAAAATCTGTCTGTAACCTAGTTAAAGGCAAAATCTTACAAACGTTTTAAATCATGGCTTAAACTGGGTAAGAATTTTTCTGCTGAAGATAAATACATAAAGGAATTGCAAAGGAGAATCTTTGACAGCACACATCTTCAAGGATTACACCATTCAAATAATCCATTTTCCTCAATGGCCCCTTCATTGGGGCACACACACCCTACCCCACCCCATTCCTTCCTCACATATTGAGAACTTTATAAACATGGAAGTATTTTCAGATCAAAGAATCAAAGATGTCATTTAAGCTTGGAACTGCACTATGGACCTTCTTCTTTTATTTATATACAACATAGTGGTTGTCTGAGCTTTCTCATTTGGAGAGGCAATAGCCCATGTTGGAAAAGAGCAGAAATAAAGAATGAGAAACGCTTACATTCAAATATTAACTCTACCATTTTGTGGATTTGTGATGCTGAACAACTTCCATGTCCCTGAGCCTAGGTATCCTAACATAAAATAAGAATAATACCTATATAGCTATTAAGTTAACTGTGATAGCATATGCATGCACTAAACAGAAAACCAGTCTTCTCTCCCTTGTTTCCACAATGCTAAAATAAAAGACCAGCAAATAGGTTGGGGAGAAAAGGAAAAACCTGTTTGGCAACGTGTTTAATATCTGGTCTCATCATCCTCTGGTGAATTCTAATGGCCTCAATATTCTCTGAATTCTAGTAATCTAGTAACACATCTTTTTTTTTGAGACAGAGCCTTGCTCTGCCACCTAGCTAGAGTATAGTGGTGTCATCATAGCTCACTGCAACCTCAAACTCCTAGGCTCAAGCGATCTGCCTTCCTCGCCTCCTGAGTAGCTGGGACTACAGGCGTGCACCATCACGCCTAGCTAATTTTTTCTATTTTTTGTAGAGACAGGGTCTCTCTTACTTTAGGCTGATCTAGAACTCCTGACCTCAAGCATCACTCCACCTCGGCCTCCCAGAGTGCTAGGATTACAGATGTGAGCCACCCGCCCAGCCAACAAATCTTTTAATAAGCTTAGTAAACTACACTGCAGCACTCTGCCCAAGAAGCTTCAAGTAAGAAGAGTGCTATTATTCAGTGTGGTTTTCAAAGAAGTATCATTAATAACATATACCTCCAGGAGGAACATTTAAAACTGAAGGGAAGGAAAACCATATTCCCACAAAAATCTTTTAGTAGATGATTACTTCTAAAATATCCTGAAATGCCTGCTAAAACTTGCTGTTCATCTACGTATCTATTCATCGGGAAAACAACGTTAAAGTTATATTAAAGATCCTTTAGAGAGGTTCACTTCAGAGATAAGATATTAATAAAAGTCAGGCTGCTATGTTCAGAATCTCAGGTTCGTTAAGAAAAAAGTCAGCTTGATACACTCACAACATAAAGGGGGATTTGCTTGATGTACAATAAATGAAGACTCATTAAAAGAGTCTGTCAGAGGCAAGTTCTATCATTAAAATGGCTACTCAGTGTTTAGGAGGCCTTTTTAATAAAACCAGGAACCTGTTATCTCATACCCCTACGTCCCATCCTCTAACTAGACAACCTGAAAGCACACCTTTCCTGAAGCAAGACTGGGTGGGAACCCATGAGTTCATCAGTAAAAATTCATCCTCACTACTACAGAAAAACAATCAAAGGCATTAAGTCTTTCAGATGATGAGTTTCCCTCTCTCCTGAAGAAGACCATCTAGGAGGATGATGAAAATAGCAGCAGCTAACATTGAATGAGCAGTTATTATATGCCAGGCATTTCTATGTATTTTACATGTACTAAGAAGATACTATTATAACCCTTATTTTAATTAGACATTGCATAGAGAGACTCACCAATTTACCCATAGTCCATAGGGATCAGAGGCAGAATTTGAAACCAGAAAATGTGACTCCCAAAGTCCTTGCTCTTAATCACTATACTACCTTTCCATGTAAATTCTCACAATTTATATACAATATAATCCCACATTCTGTCACTCAAACTAGTCATAGTCTTATACACATTTTAGGGGGTCAATTATTTCTAGTTTGCTAACAGGGACTTAAAGAGGGCAGGCCTATGCTCCAAGCTCTAGCAGCTAATTTTTCACTTGGGACCTCTATCTAGAGCACACTGCTGAGAGCTCTCTGACTGGAGAGTGGCCCAAAATAACATTTCTGCAAACTGCAAAGTAGTTTTGAAATTATTTACTCCTGTTTCCCACCCCTCTTCAGAGCTTAAATCATGTAACTATTCCCTTCACATCTGTAGTGGGTTGAATTATATTCCTCCAAAACTCATGTCCACCCAGAACCTCAGAATGTGACCTCGTTTGGAAATAGGGTCTTTGCAGATGCAATTAGTTAACGATCTCAGAGGAAATCATCCTAGATTTAGGGCAGGCCCTAAATCCAATGACTGATGTCCTTTTAAGAGAATAGGACACACAGACCCACAGACAGGAAGAAGGCCATGTAAAGATGGAGGCAGAAACTGGAGTTATGCTGCCAGAGACCAAGAAATGCCAGAAGCCACCAGAAGCTGGCAGAGGTACAGGAAGGATTCTCCCCTAGAATCTTCAGAGATAGTGTGGGCCTGCTGAAATCTTCACTTTAGACTTCTAATCTCCTGAACTGTGAAAGAAAACATCCTATTATTTAGGGGCATCTAACTTGTGCTAATTCACCAAAGAAGCCCTAGAAAACTAATGCAATAGCTAAACTACAATATTAAATTCTCAAAAAAAAAAAGAGAGAGAGAGAAAAGAAAATAGCAGCAGGCACCACAGAAAAATGTCCCTAAGAGATGTGATGAAATATCCTAGCAAATAGGATCAATAAAATGCAAAGAAAGCAGTTAAATAAAGGCTTGACACAAGAGAATACAATGTGCAGACTTTCAAAATAACCAAAGATTTCCAAAAGCATATTACTAATCAAAACAGCAAAATTATTATTTTAAATACTAATGACAGTTGCCTAGCATGGTGGTATTGACAAGGAATAGGAAATCATCTTCAATTTTATATCACATACTTCACCATGAGATAGGAGTAATGGAAATAATGCAATTAAATACCAATTGTCAATAAAGCTGGGTGATGGGTACATTCAGGCAAGTGTACCTTCATATACCAGCTATCAACCTCAGTTTTACTAGGGCTTGAAGTACTGTTGCACTCCATTCAATTTCACTTACATGTACCCACACAGTAGCAAAAACGCATCTTTCTTAATAGCACAGAATCTTTAAATTTTAGACACCTAATAAAATTAGTAGTGAGGGGCATTTAAAAACGGATAGAGCACCAACATCAGTACTATAGATAATAACAGCCCATAGCATTAACTGAGCTCTTACAATATGCCAGGAACTATTTTAAGGGCTTTAAACTATCAACTCATTTAATCCTTACAACAACCCTGGGGGTAGATAACTTTCATTATATCCATTTCACTGATGAGAAAATGAAACAGAGAACTCTTTGAGGTGATGGAAATGTTCTGTGTCATGATTGTTGCATGGGTGATTATACACTGACAATATTTGTCAAAATTTATTGAACGAAACATTTTAACTTGGTAAATGCTGTTGCATATAAATTATACTCCAATAAAGCTGAAAAATTAAAAAAGAAAGAAATCATACAAATAAGGATTACTTGAAAGATTAACCATGAAATATCAAATTGTTTTTATAATAGTATATGACATTTTTAAAACATACTTTTCCACCACAAAAGAAATACAGAAGATTTCTTTTAACCATATTTCAAGAACCTATTTCTGTGTGTCCCTATCATGCTATTGAGCATATCCAGAAATTGCTAAATTTTCTATATAGCATAACTAAGTAAAACAGAATTAAAGTTGCACTGAAGACATTATAAATTTTAGATACCAGTATAAAGTCTTCTCGAAGCAATTTAACAAAACACTAGAATAGTAATAAGATTAGATCTGCAGTATACTAATAATCACTTTACAAACAAGGCAAGTTATGTTATGGTTAAGAGGAGCATCTGCCAAGATAAACGGTCATTTTCACCCTAAAAAAGTTCTACCTTCAAATGGAATAAACAGGAACAAAACTCACTTTTGCCCAAAATGCTTTGACAAAATAGGATGCAATTTACATAGAAAGGTTTAAAAGAGCTATCTCATTAATTGGTAAAGCCAAAAATAAATAAATAAATCCCTATAACTTAACTGGTATAAAAAGAAAGAAAGCCAACAGGAAGGTGGGTCTCAAGAAAAATGATAAACTTTGAGAACACAGATTTAAGTTTGTAGACTATTGCTATGTCTGACCCTACGTCACTGAACCAAAACTGAAGGAAAATAAATTTATCCAGGCTCTAGACACTCAGCTTTTTACAAGCTAGGTCTCTAAATAATTCACCGTAACAAAGGAAAAGGCACCTCTTTCATTCTAACTGAACAAGGATGGTACTACAAAAGTTGGCCAATATGCTAAATCAGTGGTTCCCTCCTGGCCTGAGAAACTGACAAAAGCATAAAGTGTCTGAGATACTTCAACAAAAGCTGAACAAATGTCTCAACAGCACATGAACTTACCTGTCAAATGTTCATAGATGGTACCTTGATCAGGAAAACACCAAGTCATTTAAATCCATTACTAAATTCATAGTGACTTTGCCATTAAGTAATTTATCAAAGTAGAGCTAACACAAAATTTAGGACTAGAAAGTTTTTTAATTAAAGAGGGCTCTATTACTCAAAAGGTTGGGAATTTCTCTGCCTTAAAAAACAAACCAATAATGCCGGAATATTAGCATCCCTACGCCTAAGGATTTGTTAATCTGTGTGCCCTTTAACATACCAGAGGGAACAATTCTCCGTGGTGATTCCACAAAACTACAATGAACAATG